GTGTTGACGCCCAGCCAGTATACCTCCCCGCAGAACGCACGCAGCACGGTCTGGTCTTTGTCGCGCAGTTTATCTGTCGGTCGGTGCCGTCCGCCATCAGGTGGCCGTACTTCGGTTATCTTGTCGGCGTAGGCGCGCTGGTGCAGGAAGAACCCCATCTCGTTCTCCTCGATGGTGACCCCGCACTGCTCCAGGCTGGTGATACCGTCGTTCATGTCCTCCCAGGTGCCCCACTTGTAGAGCTTCCGGGTCTGAGACGCGATGTTGGTCCACTTGGGGTGTGTTGTATCACCTGCCAGAATGAAGTCATCCACGTGCGCCATGACCATACCGATGAGGCGTCTGGTCTGTGGGCGCCGCACCTGCCACATGCACGGCTCCAGCTCGCAAGGCTGCAGCCCCAGCTTCTTGAAATCGGCTTTCACCGTCTCCCACCAGTGACGTGGGGCCTCCCCGATGCCGTACCCGGGCTTGACGACGCGTAGGAGCTCGCTCTCCTTCACCTTGAAGGCCTTCTTCAGCACGGCGTCGGGTTCGATGAACAAGTCCTTCTCCAGTTCGTTCGCCTGCAGGAATGCCGAGGTGACGTCGCCCTTGATCAACTTCCAGTTGTGCGCAGCCGCGATAGTGAGCATCACGTTGCGAGCCCGTCTAGAGGCAGTAGGGCTAGCCGTAGGCTCCTTCCCGAGGTCCTTCGTCTGGTAGCCGAGGAGCGCGAGTCGTGCCTCGGCCCTGCCGTCCGCCTTCCTCGTGAAGAGCCACCGCGCCCGGATGATGTCGGCACTGTCCTTGACCTCAGACGCTGGTACTGGTCGGAGTCCACGGTTCTGAAGCCAGTTGTCCGTTTCCTTAGAGATAGCCACCTCGAACTCTGCCCTCTCGGATGCATTCATCTTGGACCATGTGAGCTCGAGCTTGTCCTTCCGGCGCTGGTTGGCGACGAAGCTGTTGGGAACTGCCTCCATCGTGCGCTTGTCGGCGCTCCTGTCGGCCCCCTCACTCTTGATGTACTCGAAGTAGACTGTCTGATGCTCGTCTACCCCCAGGAGAATGTCCAGGTCGTCCTTCTGAAGGTCCACCCAGAGCTCGCTCGCGTCCATGTCGTTGTTATCCTTCCGACGCTTCTCCGGCGGCTGATAGAGGTCCAGCTCCGGTCCACGATGTGTCATGCGGTGCCGAGGGCGCGCTGACGATGACGACGCAGAAGGTTCCCCTGGTGCTGCTGGTGTTGCTCCTCCAGTGGCTGGTGCTTCGGCTGGAGGCAGGGTCAACGGCGGAGGTTGTTGAGGTATCTCTGCTCCTGCGGGTGGTGCCATCTCCAGGTCCTGAGCGTCTTCGGATGGTTCGCCTGGTTCAGCTTCAGGTTGAGCCATGGACCTCGGTGTAGTGTGGCTCGACTCCGGTATATTCGTTTCCTCCTCCGTGGCAGCGGCAGGTGACGCTTCTGCCCCATCTCCTGGTTGGAACGCCTCGGTGGTCCTCGGGGGCTCGTACGCTGTGAGGTCCGGGCGGCGCTGCTCCACCAGGTCCTCGAACGTCCCAGCCTTGGCGGTCTCCAGGATCTCTGTCATGGTCTTCCCGAGGGAGGCCTGCTTCTTGAGTTCGGTCAGCATCTTCTCGGCTTCGGAGGCTGGTCGCAGATGCTCGGGTGCGCACCTGATCAACGTGTTCCCGTGGGCGATCCAGACGACCGAGGTCACCCGAGTGCGGCCGTCGATATGCCGTTTTTCTTGGACAAGTACTCGTGCAGGTCCGTGCCAACCTCCTTTCTTGCCAGGTCGGTTCTCCCGTCCCTTGCCGTCGCGCCAGAAGTACGCGAGGTCGCCGGCCTCCCAGGTCTGGTAGACGCGGTTCCTGGCCTGCTGTGCATGGCGTCGCCGTTCTGCGTACTCGCACTCGAGGTAGCTCTGGCGGGCCAGAAGTCGCCTCTGCTCCTGTGTCTCGCCGGTGTCCCCGTCGATGATGGCGAAGGGGTTGTTCGTGGGTGCCATCCCTGTTACGCCCAGCACGTGCTCGAACGGGGAGTGGTTCCCCACCTTGTCCATGGAGTTGATCGCATTCACGGCCCAGGTGACCAGCTCCTGCGTGCTGCAATCGGGGTCGTGGGTGGCCATCTTCGTCATGGGGCGCTTGAAGAGCTGTATGCGACGTTCCACCTTGCCCATAAGCCAGTGCGCCTCCCCAGGTGCAATCCATATCTCGATCCCATGGTCGGATGCCCACTTCGCGACTGTCTGAGAGCAGTGGCACCCTTCAGGGTCCATGCGAAGGAGGGCAGGTTGACGGTAGTGACTGCACCACGATTCCCACGTAGAGATCACCTCGATGGCTGATCGGTTGCCGCTGCGCTCTCCCTTCTGCCCGTGGTAGGCGACGCTGGTGAGGCCGGACCCCTCGTCGAGGTTCAGGGTCATGATGTGGGAGGTCTGCTGAGGTGAGAGCCACTCCAGTCCGTCCGTGGCGAGGACTTCTAGCACGCTCGGAATCTCCACGCCTGAGGCCACTCGTACAGCTTTGGGGAGCTTCCCGATATGGCAGCCATGGCATTGAAATTGAAGTGCCAGTCGGAGTACAGGGACCGCTGCTCCAGAGGCCTTGAGAATCTTGTAGAGTGTCTTGTTGCTGGGGTGGCCTAGATTGCGATGAAGTCGCGCGAGTCTCTGTTCGATCTCTGAGATCTCTTTCTTTGACAGCTCCGTTTTGACGCCCAAGCCTTTGAGGGACGCCTCGGCGGTCTCCATCTCGATGTCCTCTTCCGTGTTCAGCTCCTCTAATTCGCCCGACATCTCGACGTCGTCCTCCTCTGGGATCTGCTCCAGGCCCGCGTAGACCTCCTTGCCGTACTGGGAGGTCACGTTATTCTTGAGGATGTGTTTGGCCCAGGCTCGGCACATGGCAGGGGGATAGAAGGCTGTCTGAGCCACCAGAGGACCGTCCTCGATGACACGATGTAGATGGTTGTCTCCGCGTCCCGGTCGGTTGCTGCAGAGCCGGCCCATCTTTGCTCCAAAGTCGGGGTCAGTAGAGCACATTCGCCACCCCTTCTTCACCAAGAGTCCAGACCTCTCGTCACGAAGTCCGTAGGCGCACCCATGAATGATCGTCTCGTACATCTCTGACCGCATCTTCATGATGGAGGGTGATTTCGACCAGCTGCGGCTGTTCCAGGGCTGCTCTAGCTCGATGTGGCAATCGACTATCTTCTTCGCTTCCTCGTACAAGGCCAGACACCCCCGCTGGATCCTGCGCGCCTGTCGGATCTTGGTCGAGAGCTGCTTCCTCTGGTTCTCCGTCTTCTGGTTCAGGTTCTGGATGGGGCAATCTGCGGTGCACGGTGGGCTTAACACCAACCGTCGAGGTCGTGCGAGTCGAAGGAGATGCATGGCCCTGCGGACTCCAGTGGCCGTGCCCATGTCCTAGCCGTTGAAGAGCCCACACCGTATCACCCTGCCGTGCTGCGCCTCCACCGCCTTGCCGAGCGACGACTCGCTCGGGCAGCGCACCTCCATGAGGTCCGCGCGCTTGGTCTTGGTCAGGTTGACGGTGTCCTCGCCAATCTCGAAGTAGATCTGGTCCATCACATTGGTCTGCGCCTGGTAGAACGCGGTGAGATCCGAGTCATTCAGGGACTTCAACGGCCCCGCTTCTTCACGGTCTCCGTCACCTCCGAATCGTCCAGCAGGCTGTCGTCCGGCACTGGCAGAAACACCCAGGGCCCTGCGGGGTCGCACTTCGCCAGCTTCGACGCCAGACGCCTCCACCGCACCGCCGCGGCCTGGCTTCGGATGTCCCCCAGCGCCCCGCTGTGGGGTTCCCTCTCCGAGGTCGAGTCGTCCGGATGCAAGCGTAGGCATCGATGACTCTTTCCTCCGCGGCAATTGCATCCCGTGATCGCCCGGTTGGGCGCCTTGCAGCATGAGCACCTCGATCGAACTGTTGAGCTCGGTGGTGTCGGAGGTGGTGGCGGTGGTTGCAGCGGTGGTCCTGCTGATGGGGTCGCCGGCACCGGGGGGCCCACCTCCAGGAACACTTCGGGAGGCGTCGTAAGTAGGGCAGCAGGTGGCCATGCAGGATGAGGTCCATGCCGTGCCTGGAGTTGAAGGCAGTAGTGGGATGTGCCGCCCTTGCAGCTGCATCCCCTCCGAGTCCGTCCCACAGCTCCGCAGCACTGGCATCGTCCGGGTGGCTGGTACTGCACTGGTGATCCCGTTGGACTGTTGATCGGCATCTGCTGTGGTGGTGTTGTCGATGCTGAGCCCGCTGTCGAAGGGGCTGGCGTCGGCGTGGCAGGTGAGGATCCTGCCCGAGTCCTCGGGCGCGCCCACTCTGGTCGCGCCGACGGCGGCTGCTGTCGCGAAGAAGAGTCTCCACATGACATCAGACGCGTTCTGACATGTAGGATATGGAAGAGCTGAACTGCTGGGAGTCTCGGAAGTTCCTGCACAACATTTTTGGGCCACACGAGGCTGAGGAATACCATTTGGCTTCTTGGGGTTCTGTTCGGGGTTCTCCTCTGGCAGGTGCATCTCGTTTCCCTCGGTAGGTCCCCCGAAGCTCACCCTAGTTGTCCTCTGGGTCCCCCTAGACCTTTCCCTCGTACTAGAACCTCTCGTCGCCTCCGAAGTCCCCGAGAGTGTCCAAGAGCTCCCCCGAGTACTCGGACTCCGTGTCGCCCCTGACGGTCCCGAGAGTGTCCCCCACCTTGTCCCACTCTAGCCCCTGGTCGTCATCGGTCTCGGGCTGCTCGAACGTTGAGACGTCGTGGGTCTTCTCTCGGTGGTGCATTGCGTCGCTCTCGGTCGGCTCGAATGGGGGCTGGCTCGAGGTCTCTCCTGGAGATGTGGACCCTCTCGAGGTCATCGAGGTTCCCTGGACGTGGCGGTCTCCTGGACTGGGAAAAGAACCTGGGCTCTTTGAGCATCTTTCTGTTGGCCCCCCGATGATGAGGATGACGATGGAGATGATATCTCGCTCGCCGACATCACCAGGGGGTGCTGTCCCTAGCGCACGGCGAGGCAGCCAGCGCAGCCCGTCACGGGCTCCTCCGGCTTCTCATCCAGCACGATGGAGTCCCGCCCTGTCATGTTGACGTGGCAGCTCTCCAGGGACAAGGGTAGAGAGACCTCGCGCCACCACTGCGGTGTCGAGAGATTGATCGCCAGACGCTTGCTCGAGAGCCTCTCGCAGTAGTAGACTTTGTTGCCCAGCGTCGGCAACCCGATCCAGTTGCGGCCGCAGTCGACCACTACCTTCAAGTCGTCCGTCAGGATGTCCATGCCCAGGAGAGTGGGGACGCGGTTCGCCATCACTGAGAGGCTGATGTCTCGGAGCTCCGGTCCCAAGTAGGCGCGTCCAGAGACCGTTCCCATCGAGCTCTTCTGGAGCCCGTCGCCGAAAGTGAAGGAGCAAGTATCGTCGTGCGCCTCGAACTCCACGTCGTGGTTCACCATCATCTCGTACATGAGGTTCTCTACGCTCTCGACGCCACCAAGACTGCGCGTAGCTCCAATGTCCAGCACGGCCCAGATCCCCTCGCGCTCAAGCAGGTAGACGTACTCGTCCAGGGCCGACAAGATGAAGCCGTTGTGCGTGTTAGTCGTACCTCCAGTGGTGCCGCTCCCGACCTTGCCACGGTCAGGACAGTCTCGAGCTCGATGTCCGAACTGTCTGCACACGATGCACTTCATCTTGGACAGATCTCGCGCACTTTCGAAGCGAACTCGTCGATCTTGTTGTCCGCGTCCACGTCCTTTAGCCTGTCCTCGGGGCCGCCACTCCGCGTGAGGCTTCGGCGGTGGAGCTTGTCGTCCATCTTCTCGCGGAACCACCGCCGGGTAGTAGTCCCTGGCGACTCGTACTTGTCGGAGGAGATCCCTGGCATCCTTGAAGCTCCGGCCAGCTTGGCGAAACTGCGCGAACACCTCGTTGTCCGCCTCCAAGTCGTCGGGCTCCACCTCCTCGTCCTCGTCCGCAAGGTTGAGGAGCTGCTCGGCCAGCTCGTAGATCTCCTCTGCTTCCCCACCAGTCTCGTCCTCGTCCTCTCAAAGTCGTTCTCGAACAACGCCCGCTCACGCTTGACTTTGCCATCCAGCTCCGCAAGAGCCTCCGCTGGGAAGCGCGTGAGCAACGTCTTGTAGGTCTTTCCGAAGTTGAAGTCACCTCCCGCGGTCGCCGTCACTTCACCTCTGAGCACGGGGGTGAGTCTCGATTTCCGCAGGAACCACCATGTGCGAACAGGTTTCGCTATTACTTCTTTCACGTCCGGGTCGATGGCCTGCAGCTGGGTCAGCAGCTCCCTCTCCTTTTTCTCGAACCGGGCCACCCAGTCCTGGAAGGTCTCTCCAGAATTGCGGCCTATCTTCAAGAAGAACTCCTCGGCCAGAAGACCCGTGTCGTTGAGGCTGGTGTAGTCCAACTTCTCAAGCACATAGCTGAACACCCTCTCCCAGCCGACCAACTTTCCGTTGTCATCCACCTCGTCTACGTCGTTGATCGAGGGGCAGCTCTCCACGGCGTTCCGAACCCGCGGCCCAAGCGCCCGGACCAGCTGTGGTCCACAGACGTAGCGGTCGTTCACTCGGATGCTCTTCGCGAACATCGACACCTCGAAGCGGTAGTTCGACAGCTTCTCTGCCTCACCGTTCCAGGATGGTACCTCGACTCGTGATGGTGCCGATGTCCCTGTTGGCGTTGTCATCGTGACGAGACTGGTGGGAGCCCGTGGTGCGGTTACCACACGCTCCGCTACCAATCTGAATCCCGTAGAGCCTCAAGAGGTCTCTGAAGTTCTCAAACTTGCACACCTCTCTCTCCGGGGATATCCAAAACTGATGTTCACGATTCACAAGTAAATCAGAATCCTTGTCCACTCGATGAGCACCTTTTGCTCTCCTGAGACGATCGCGACCCCAGCAGCGCGATCTGTGCAGCTGCAGTCAGCTGCCTAGATAAAACAGGCCCGCCCACCCACACCTTGAGCCAGTGGGCGGCGGTCACAGAACACGGCAGACCATGACCTCACAGAGAAGCCCCTAGATCTGTACTGCATAAACAACTGCTACTCTGTGTCCCTTTCAGAGGTTCGTCCCCGCCGAGGGCAGTGTGAGACGAGGTGTGGCTGCAGAGAACCCCACTCGAAGTCGGTGCATGGAGGCCTCGCTAGGAGCCGAGTGTTTTTCAAGCTCGAGGCCACGAGGCGCTGTGCTGGGTACAGCCGCATTGGGCCAGCAGCAACGCGATCCAGTCAATCGTCGAGTCGCCAGTCGTTATGGTAGGAGCTGCTGAGACCCAGATTAAAGCAGGCTTGGTTTTCGCGTCCGCCGAGGGCACTGAGACCCCTGGCCGTGTGGGGCGAGGTGGGGCAGCCGCGAACCCCACTCGAAGTCGACGCATGGAAGCCTCGCTTGACTCCGCTCGTTTTTTCAAGCGCAGCCACCCCGATGGGCCAGCAGCAGCCTGATCCAGTCGTCAGCCCGTCAGTCGTTGCGGATGGAGCTGCGAAGACCCAGGGGTTGGCACCAACTCATGTGAGGGAAGGGCTGCGCCTGAAGAGGAAGGGCAGCCACTGTCACCCCCACGCGCTCAGGCAGTTGGCAGAGCATCAGACTCTTCTGACTAGATTCAGGCCGCCTTGGAAGACCTGATCGACAGGTAAGCCTATCCACGAGCGGCGGCCCCGACGAGGACGGGGATTCCCCGGCGCCAGGGGGCAGTCGCCTCGCCAGGGTCTCCCTTTTTTAAAAGAGGTGTCGAAGCGAACGGCGGGTGCGCCTCAGGTGGTAACGCAGGAGGAGGAGGAGGTGGAGGAGGAGGAGGAGGAGGAGACAGAAAGGGCGGAGGAGGAAATGGAGGAGGAGGAGGAGGAGGACGAGGAGGAAAAGGACAAGGAGGAGGAGGACGAGGAGGAGGAGGAGAAGGAGGAGGAGGAGGAGGAGGAGGAGGAGGAGGACGCCCCCACTCCTGCCTCCCCCCCCTTCGGGGGGAGGCATCCAGTTCAGCATCAGCTCCTCGCAGAAGCTGCTGCGGAAGATCGACAAGAGCGGGACAGGCGTGCCGCCCCAGACGATTCTCGAGCCCCGCGCGGCCTCCCCCCTCCCTTGGCCTCAGCATCGCTCGGACGCGTGCGTTTTTTGTTTGTTTGTTTGTTTATTTTGTTTTGTTGTGTGTGTGTGTGTGTGTGTGTGTGTGTGTGCGTTTGTTGTTTGTTTGCGTTTGTTAGTTTTTTCGGCGGGGTCCACCGATTAGCATCCTAGGTCATGTTGCGAAACAGGAAGTGCGCGTACGAGAGCGAAGCATGCACGGGGAATGGGCGTCCCAGCGACGGCAAGCGATACGGCGCGGCATTCGCTCCGATGCACCAGCGCGTGCGCTTCCGTGTGGGAGCTTGGGGGGGCGGGCGGCCTGCTTCCCGGTCAGGGCGCCCCGCTGAGAGCTTCCCGCAGGACGGGGGGGGGGCTCCCCGGGCCGGGCAGCCGCAGGTGGCGCGAGCGCTCCCAGGGGCTGCCCCAGGGCCGCCTCCAGTTCGGGTTGGCTGCTCGCCTTCAGATCCGGGCGGCGCAACAGAACATCGTGACGGCTGGCCAATTGGGCGCTTTCGGCCCCTGGAGGCTGTCGCCCGGCTTGGGGACAGTTGAAAACGACTCGGGACGAAAAGCCAGCGCTGGGGAGGGGGGCGAGATCCCCAGGGGCCGAGGTCGCGAGTAAGTTGAGACGTCGGGTGAGGGTACCGTGCAGCCCACCGCGCAATCCCGCGGCGACCACGGCCAGACCCCGCCCCACCAGGCGGTCTCCTTCTCAGGACCCAGGTGAGGGCCGTCTTTGTACAAACGCTATTTTGGAGTCGCCGGCCAGTCTCTGAGAGTGCTTGCAATATATGATAATCTGAGCAGCCGTGTCCAAGTATGTAGCGGCTCTTAAACAGCCTGGGGAAGCTCGTTGCTGTTGCTAACATGTATGATGCGCTCGTGGCCCTCGTGGGACCGACACGCGAAAATCTCTGTTACCGAAACCACCCTGCGGAGACGCGGACCCTGAGAGTGCCCCCCCCACTGACATCACGAGTTTTCAAGGGTATCTCACGATTGGTTGCGATATGTCCAAGCAGCTCAAAGGCCATTCGGGAGAGGACTTCGTTCAGCTTGCATCCTCATTTCAATTAATTTGCCCTTCTGACAGGTTTCGCTTGTTTTTTGAGCGTTGGCTTCTCGTTGTTGCCGCTGGGCCCTCCTCGTAGGTGCTTTCACATCAGTTTCAATGCAGCAGGGACAAATCTGTATCAGACGCCAGCTGCCTTTCCTCCTTCCTGCCCCCCTCCTGTTCCTGGTTACTTGTGTTTTCTTAAGATGCCTCTCCTCTCATCCTGTTCTTTTCTCGTCATGCCGGCTTAGTCTCACGATTGTAGTGGCAGCGCGAATTGATTCGCAATGCGAGCTGATAAGCGAGATAAATGTGAGGGACTTGTTGAAGGGCGCGTTTCGCGATTGAAACTGACATCAGAACACCAGTTTGTTTGTATCCGATCGATTCCATCGATATGCGATGAAGGGCAGCCTTTTGCCAGCTTTGGGACGAGGGTGCCTTAGGTCGGCCCTCTGTACCGAGGCTGGAGCGCGTCCTGACTAGGATCTCATGGGATCTCGACGCGTATCCAGCCGTGGCGACGAGGGCCCCTGAAGAGGCCTCCACCCCGAGAGACGCCACTCTCCTCCCCGGACCTCCGCAGCCCCCGGACCTCCGGTGTGAGCCCCCCGGAGCTCTCGACCCCTCCCCCCGGGCCGGCGTGGACTTGGAGACCGTTTGTTTTTTTTCCCTACCTAGGCTCTGCCTAGAAGGGTTCTTGCTCGCTAGCTGAAAGGGGCCGGGCAGTGCCGCCCGCCCCGGGCGGTTCCCCCGGTCCCCTGGGGGCGGTTCCCCCAGTTGCGCCCCCTAGCTTTAGCTTTAGCTTTAGCATTAGCTTTAGCATTAGCTTTAGCTTTAGCTTTTGCTTTTGTTTTAGCTTTTGCTTTAGCTTTAGCTTTAGCTTAGCTTTAGCTTAGCTTTAGCTTAGCTTTAGCTTAGCTTTATCTCAGCTTTAGCTTAGCTTTAGCTTAACTTTAGCTTAACTTTAGCTTAGCTTTAGCTTAGCTTCAGCTTAGCTTTAGCTTAGCTTTAGCTTAGCTTTACCGTTACTACTGATGCTGCTTTCCTAGGGGCTCTAACTCCTAGGTAGGGTCGCACTGGGATAATCCTTTGGCGATCAGCGGGCGTGACCTGGGGGAAGAGGAGGTGGAGGAGGAGGAGGAGGAGCAGGAGAAGGAGGAGGAGGAGGAGGAGGAGGAGGAGGAAGAGGAGGAGGAGGAGGAGGAGGAAGAGGAGGAGGAGGAGGAGGAGAAAGAAGAAGAGGAAGAAGACGAATAATAATGATAAGATGAAGAAGAATAATACTAAAAATAATAAGAAGAAATGAATAATAAGAAGAACAATGCGAATACGAAGAATAAGACTGAGAATAATACGAATACTAATAATAACAATAATAATAATAACAATAATACTACTAAGAGTAAGGTGAATCATAATAATATTAAGAAGAAGACGAATCATAATACGACGAAGAAGACGAACAATAAGATGAAGTAGAAGAAAACGACTACTAAAAAGAATACTAATAAGACAACTTATGATAATAATAATATTAATAATAATAATAGTAATAATAATAAGAATAAGACGATTACGAATACGAAGAATACTAATAATACACATAATGTTAATAATACTAATACGTATAATAATAAGAATATCAAGAATAATAAGAACACTAAGAATAATACTAATAATCGTAATAAGAAGAATAATAAGAGGAGGAGGATGGAGGAGGAGGAGGAGGAGGAGGGAGGGGAGGGGGGAGGGGAGGGGGGAGCGAGGGGGCGTCGTTCGCAGCACGAGCCGCGCCCTCGCCGCCTGTGAGTGCCTGGGAACGGCTGGCTCCCAGGCGGCGTCGGCGCGAATCGTGGCGTGGCCATGTGCTCGGGCGCTCGCAAGCATGGATGAATGGGGGCGTGGATTAGCGTTAAGTCGGGCCTGTCCCTCTACAGGGGGGATGTTAAAAGATAATGAAACCATAGCCAGGGAACGATTTTTTGATTATTTAAGTTCATAAGTTGGAGGATAGTTTTATGTTTTTTTTTTTTCCGTCCAAAATCCGCCTGTTGCATATGTGTAGCTTATCCTATCAGCGTCTTAGCAGCAAGTTGTGATTATGTTGTTTGCATTGTCATGTATTGCTGTTGGACGCAACTGTTTGGCTCCAGGCACTTTTCGGCTTGTAAGGAAAACGGGTAGCGGAACCCTCCGCTTCCACCAGCTCCAGACGAGGATTCGAACTGGTAGGTGAGGACGGGGGTTTCCGCACGTGCAAGACCTCTGGGCGCGGCTTGCGCGCTACAACCTCCGGAGAGCACTCCAGGGGCGGATTTGGTGGGCGATTGGTCAGTTTCTTCAGGAGGTCAAGCAGGCTGAGACAGCAGCTCGGCTAGCAGTTGAGCGGGAGCTACTCCGTTGAATACGGCGACGCCATATGCAGCAGTTGATTGCGAGCCAGAGGCAGCTCGCGATTCAGATGCATTACTTTGACGCGGAGAATGCACGACTGAGGTTGGCGCACCAGCAGGGTATTGGACAACTGCCCGACCTAGTCGAGACTTTGACGAAGATAGTTGAGCAGAAAGGTCAGCAGAGCTCGACACTCGTGGACAATCGTGGAATAAGCATGCCAAGCAGCTCCGGCGGATATGGGAACAAGTTGAGAGAGTGGAGCCAGAAGTTCGAGGCGTTCGTGGGTTCCACTTTTGGAGGCAAGCTGCGAGAAGTTTTAGAATGGGCGATTGAACGGCCAGATCCACTTACTCCCGAGGTGGTTGACAGTGCTTTTGTAGCAGTTGTGCACTGGAGAGACCTTCGGCATCGTGAGCAACGTCGCGGCGAACAATCGGCTTGATTGCTGGAGAAAGTTGCGCAGGCGCTACGATCCTGCGACGGGAGGTCGGAGGAGGGCGGTGCTCAGGAGTGTGCTGAATCCAGGGCAGGCTGCCGCTGATGAGCTCGTGGCGCGCTATGCGCGCCGACGCGGCCCAGATGGAGTTCGAGAGACTCTGCCCGAGGATCTGCGCATGTCTGCTCTCGAATCTCTCTTGCCGGACGACCTTGCCAAGCGCGTCCAGCTGAACCAGTGGAGATTCACAGACAACGGGTCTTTGAGGGTCGAGGTGGCGCAGTGCATTGAGCAGCGGACAGGCATCATAGTCAAGGACCCCTTGATCGCAGGTGGCCCAGGTGGGGCAGGGCAGCGTCGTCGCGGTGCGGATGACATGGACGTTGGCTCCCTCCAGCATCGCGGCTCGAAGGGCGCATTCATGGGCGGCGAGGGATCCAAGGGCAAGGGTTGCGGCGGAAGCAGAGGCGGCAAGGGCGATTCGAAGGGCAAGAAGGGCGACGTTACAGGGGCCGCGTGCTGGAACTGCGGCAAGAAAGGTTACGGGCCGGAGAACTGCTGGCAGAAGTTCAAGACGGGGCCCCAGGGCGACTCCAAGGTTTCCAAGACTGGAAAGAAAGGAGGCAAGAAATGAGGTCAGAAGGACGTGAACCAGGTCGACCAGGACTGGGGCGAGCACGAACATGAGGGGCACTACGAAGATCAAGGACAGCCTGAGCCTGAGGAAGCTGGAGGTCTGGAGCAATGTGCTTTCGCGCCTCCGGTGTGCGTCGTGGACTCGCAGAGCTGGGTGCCAGTCAATTGCGATTCAGGAGCAGCTGCTGCGGTTGTTCCCAATGGTTGGTGCGATCCCGTGAGCCGGCCGAGTGGGCGACAGCGTCGCGCCGCCAAGGGCCAGATCTTGGGCGACGAAGGCATGGGCGAGATCAACGGCTACGATGAAAACGATCGGCCGGCTCGGTTCCGAGCCAGAAAAGCGGCTGCGACCAGGCCGCTCGCGTCGGCCTCCAAGATGTTGAGCGACAAGATCGGGTATTTGGACAGGGAAAGGAGGATTGAAATATGCAGAAGACAGA